AATTCACAGACAACATAACACAAATATACTCGCACACACAAACCAGTATGGCCATCGAGGACGATAACCGCGTGGCCTCGGACGTGTGACGTACAGTATCTAGAGCCTTTGTAAGTTCGCGCATAAGACTCACCTCTCACGGCGCATGAGCAGCGGATACAGAGTATGATGATCACCTTTCGGCGGCGGGCCCGAGCGTTATCAGCTCTCCTGCTCTCTCTCTCTCTCTGATCAGCCTCCAAATCTAACGCCACGCACGCGACTGCTCTCGCTCTGAGACACTAATAAACAGACATATACTTTTTTCCACGTGTACTCAATCCCATTACACCCCTAAGCTCCACAATTCCCACGTAACACTTACATCTTTCTTTATAATTTTAATTGTATAGTTTAATTTGTCATGAAAACTGTTGAAAAAAAAATTTTTTAATGAGAAAAAATTTTAATAACAATACATAGTTATTTAATGCAGTTGACATTGAAATGATGCTTAAAATTACATTGATTATATTCCAAGAACAATGATAATAATTGTTCCAATTGAAAGCAAATAATGAAGATAGCGTAGTATTTGAAAATCAATTCATTAATCATGAAGCATTTTGCATCATTATTGTAACATCATTTTATACAATAATAGTTTTTCTAAAATCAATGCCTTGCTATACGTCTATAGGTTTAAAGCGCTTTTTTATTAGTTATTTTTTTTTTATTAAAAAGCACGTCGCCTAATAAGTTTGGTGGTTTTTTTTCAATCATTACGTATTTTATTAAACTCGCCAAGTATGTAGACACGCGTTGGGTCTCAGATTTATTGTTTCGTGGCGCTATATTAATTAATAATTAGTTTATTAATTTAGAAATACATTTGTTTAACAATATACATGTGTTAAAAGCGATTTGTATATTTATATTAAATGTTTTATCAACTTGAAATCAAGTAAAAAAGAACTTATTTCTCGTAAGGCTCTTTCTTACCCAGGAAATTGAAAAGGTTCTTGCTTTATCAAAAATCTAAAAAGGCTCTTTCTTGCTATAGAGTTTAAAAAGTCTTTCTCTAGATACAACTTCGGAAAAGGCTCTTTCCGCTCGTGCGTGTAGGTATGAGTATAAATGTTTGGTAAAAGTGACTTATACAGACATTACGTGTATCTGACATATATATTAATAGCATGGTGGAGTTATGCGGATGTCGGCGCGACTTATTTTTGCCCTTATAATTACCCCCTCATCAATATTATTATTTGCACAAGTCACCTTTGGTCAACACATAGGCGTTCATGGATATTACGTATACCGACTATGCTTTGATCAACAATATTGTAGGTATCTGTCAACAAGCGATCATAAATTTATTTTATTAAAAAGAAGATAGGGGAACGACACATATACCAGATGCGGCATTGGAAGCGATTTTGGAAGCAAAAATTTTGGCAGAGCAGCTGAGACCAGATCTACAGTTCCTAGTTAAGGAAAAATACAACTACAGAAGAGGAAATTGGAGAAATCTCAGAAATAACGACCATGGCATTTAGCTTCAGAATAATATATTACATACGGATACANCTTTGGTCAACACATAGGCGTTCATGGATATTACGTATACCGACTATGCTTTGATCAACAATATTGTAGGTATCTGTCAACAAGCGATCATAAATTTATTTTATTAAAAAGAAGATACTTTAAGGCAAAATTTTGACTCTGGTATATAGAAAATGAGAGAGTAACAACTAAGCAAAAAGTGTTAAAATTAATAAAAAACGTATTTTTTCAAACTTCAGAAATTTTGTACTCCAAAACTTAGGAGTTTAGGTAAATATATGTTAGTGCGTTTTTTTGTTTTAAAATGTGCCAAAGAATGTTATGAAACCTTTATTTAACAACAAAAGCTCGAATTTTTGAATTTTTTGACGAAATTTGTTATGAACAATTGAATGGCAACGAATTACGAAACACAATATTGTTAACTGTAATTAGGAAGTCAAAATTTACAAAATAAAACAAGGTGTACCCATGGATCTCAACACACAGGAGAAAAACTGTATTACCTATTATGGGGTAAAAACTATAAAAATCTGTGCATACATGAAGTAGTAACATACATAAGCGTAAGAAAAAGTTTTCTACCCATTTCGCACTTTTTTACGATACAACATTAATAAAGTAGTGTAACATTTTTTCAAGATCTGATATTGACCAGCTTAAGACGAGGGTTCCTCGATGCCGTAGTAGTAGACTCTCATTTCCTCAATAGCTTGGCACCAGCCGAGAGCGAAACCTTCCGGATCTTCAAGATAGTATGTGCGATTTGGCTATAACACACAATGAATACGTGATCACAAGCCATCCTATGATGTCAATCAGGTCACTCTAATATGAGCAGATAAATAATTTAGCTAAAAAATGCAAACTTACCGTGTGTACAAAGAAGATTTTGAAGTTTTTAGGTTCAACTCTGAGCTCTTTGCTCCAGGGTATTTCCCCTTTCAGCACCATGTTAACAGGGTCTACGTAATAGAGATGAGGTCCTGTGGTCAAGAGGAGCATACGTCTGCGGGAAAAGAGGCCCTTGCGCTTGTTAACAAATCCTTGTTTGATTATAAGATTTCCAGTGACGAAGCTATCCCATTGGTTGTCAGCCTTTTGTACCTTGAGTCGTTGCCGTAACTCATCACTGTTAAGATCGGCCAGATCATACTTATTCTTTGGCTTATTGGCACGCATACAAGGTCGGAAATCAAGGCGTTCCTCTTGACTTAAATGTGGATGTTGCTTACATTCACTTTGGGCCTGGTGTTTCAGGGATTGTTGTCGATGATGGTATGAATCCTTGACATCATTGCTGCTCAATCCACCGATGCCTAAGCCTAGTAAACGTGTTAGTTGCTTGTCATCGAGGCCAGGCTCAAGATAATTAGGCACACGGTAGTGTGACCGCATCTCCTCATTTTCACTGGTACCAGGAAGGTAAGGATAGATAGGTGGTGGTCTCTGCTCATGGAGGGTTTCAAAATCAACGCCTTTGAAAAATAAATGTGCCCGGATACTTGGATAACTAGAATCCTGGACATCATTGGCACCAAGTCGCTCCGAAGGTTCGAGCACGAGGAGCCGAGAAACTAGGTCGCGTGCCAGCTCACAAAAGCCGTCGGGTATCTCATAGTGCAGTGCCAGGATTTCCTGAAAAATAAGATACTCGCTACAGCCACGAAAGGGTGGAAGGCCGGCTACCATTTGATAGATAATACAGCCAAGCGCCCAAAGATCTGAGGCACGACTCGTAATTTTACTAGTAAGAAGTTCGGGAGAGACATACTGAGCTGTGCCGACAAAGGAGTTGCGTCGACACCAAGACTTGATCTTAATGTCGTTATCATCGTTAACATTTTCATTGATGCAATTCTCTGTAGCTGCATCATCTTCCTTATTATTCCTTTCACCAAGCTGTTGTTTATACCAAAGTGGTGACTCTTCAGGCTGTTCATTACGAAGAATTTTAGCACTACCAAAATCAGTAATGAGAACGTGCATTTTTTCATCGAGAAGAATATTTTCAGGCTTGAGATCGCGGTGGATGATACCAAGGCTATGGAGGTACTCGAGACCCCGGAGAATCTCAGCTGCATAGAACTTGGTGCATTCGATGTCAAAACTACCGACTTTTTTAATGTGGGGCAAGAGCTCACCATTTTTGGCATATGAAAGCACGAAGTAGAGCCTTTCAACATCTTGGAAGGTGCAGAACAGCCGGACGAACGAGTGCTTTGCACCAAGTAGCATGTTTAAAACTTCTTTCTCGCGCTTTACATACTCCGTTTTTTTCTCTTTTATTATGTGGTGCTTGTCACATACTTTAATAGCGTATTCCCGACTTGTATGAATGTCCTTCGCAAGGTAAACCTGCAGAATGAAAAGTGAAAAAATTATTTTTTACGACATATACATGTAGAGTCGTCGTTTATTTCAATCTATTTTTAGTTATGTAAGTTGGACCATTAAATTTTAATATATTACATTAAAATTAGGTAAAGGAAGGTCAATGCTGTAAATCAATGTATATATAAATACGAGTATAAATAAACGTACATCAGTATTGATTAATTTAACAACTATTTTTTAAAATTTGTAGTGATTGAACATCAATAGGCTTATTGATTAGGAAATCTTTCAAAAATACGTGGAGAAAGATCTTGATAACTTGAAATGGCAGCTTTAAGTACTTTTTTTATTTTTAACGTGACGTATTTTTTTTTTCGTCACACTCACTCTCTCACTTCCTCTCTTTCTTTCTCTTTTTTATTCTATGTTTATAATATAGACTAAGAGCTGAGATTGAGTGGGTGGGTTAATTGTGAAATCGCCACCAATTTGTTAAATATTGAGAAAACTTATAATTCGTGGAGATCTGACGTATTTTTGCGATATCTATTATTAATAACGAGTTGAGTTGTTTTGAAAAAAGTCCTAGGGTGTTAAACAGCGAAATAGCCGCCACCTGGTCCAGTAGATAGAAAATAAAAGGTTGTCACAGGAAAGTGATATTGTCGGCAAAATTAGACTTACATTACTGGCCGAAAATTGACTGCCAAGCTAGGGCACCTTCCGTACAAACGCTGAAACAGCTGCCACTTTACGAAACTTTTTTTGACAATTATATATGCTCGAAAACAAAGTGGCGGCAATTTTCGGCAGATATAAGAGTGCTATTTTATTAATACACAACGCTTATCACACCCACTGAATCACACAAGAAAGATAATTTACCCTACTTATATATGCCGAAAATTTCCACCATTTAGTTTTCGAGCATATATTATTGTAAACAAACGTTTGGTAAAGTGGCGGCTGTTTCAGCGTTTGTACGGGGGATGCCCTAGCTTGGCGGTCAATTTTCGGCTAATACTGTAAGTCTAATTTTGCAGCTAAGGTCACATTCTTTTGACAACTTTTTATCCTCTATGCATTGGGCCAGGTGGCGGCTATTTTGCCGTTTGAAACCCTGGGACTTTTTTCAAAACAACCTAACTCTTTATCAATAATAGATATCGCAAAAATACTTTGGATCTTCAAGTATTATGAATTTTCTCAATATTTGACAAATTGGCGGCGATGTCGCAATTTACCACCCACTCGACCCCAGCTCTTAGTCTAATAGTTTCATTTCCCACAACCATCCTCAGCATTGACTTCGCGCAAGCGTGTTAAAAATTATGTTAAGCCTAAATATTTGTATCATATAAACTTTATAATGGTTACGGAAGTATGTATTTTTACGAAACTACGGTGCATAAATATCACGTAAATATTCGTTGTGTGTAATATAAGAAATTTTCTGACTCCAAATACTCACGTAAGAAGTGAAACAACAGGTGAAACAACTAGGAGATGTTAAGGGAACTGACTACTGTTAACTCGTCTTCACAGATCTAGCCAACCTGGGAAAGTGAGAAAATGTTCCAACTAGATTTAGGAATAATCAGGAGGTGAAATAGGAGATAAAATAAAATTGTTATTTAATCAAACAAATACTTTATAATTCGGCACGTTTTCAGATTACAAAAAATAATTGTAATGCAAAAGAAATTAAGTAAAAATAAAAAGAAAAGAATGATTTAAAAAATGAGAAACAAACCCGAAAATTTACTAATTTTTTAAACCATCATGTATTTGACCTATTTGTACATTGTGCTTTGACTATTTATAAAGATTAATTATTGTTTATAGATAAATAGTAGGCAACACATAAATATAATAACGCATGTATACCAAATTCTGGGATATGCGCAACAAATAGACTGCCAACTAAGATTTAATTGGAAAAAGAGGTATCTTAGTTTTTCAAGCAAGGGAACTCAAGTCGGAGTGATGAGTCTCTCGTCTAGCTGCAGCAGACTTTGGTTTTAGGGTGGCATACGACTCGTTACTGTCGAACATGATAGAGAGAGACAAGGAGTTAGTTAAAGTAACACATTGGTAGTTGTCTAGAAAAATGTGTCCATTTTTTATGTAGAAATATGACCGATAGTCACATAGCCCTTTTTGGTTTATGGCATAAAAAATGAAGTTTTTTATAAAATAAATCAAGAAAATAAAAGGATAACTGGTTAATTATACTACAAGAAAATAGAAAATAATGCTTCTTTTAACTTATACAAACTTTCTTACTCATAAAAATAATTAAAATTTTATAGCAAATAGATTATTAAAATAATTTTTTTTTTTTTTTTTTAGTTTTGACAATTAAAAAAAGTATTTTTGAGCCCGTCTATCTGATGTCACAGCTTCACGATTCTTTATATAATATTCAGAAGGTAGAGCTACGTCCTCCCGATTGGATAGAATGCCTTTGGAATCAATGTCAAATAATTTAGATTTAACTAAACACTCATGTTTTCTTGAAGTTTAAAAGCTTTATGAAAAGATAATAGATGAGACTCGTGTTATCGACTTTTAATGAACAGTTTTTAACATCCTTTGATGGTATTGGAGTGTGCCATTTTTTATTTTCATACCAGCAGACAATGTCGCAATATTGCCTCGATACTGGAGGCATAATTGCCTGATCATGGTGTGTGATTGGTGGATTCAGCGCTACGTATGCGATGGATGCGTGTGAATGCAAATTCAATGCAACGCTTGGTGACACGCTTAAAAAAGTAGACTAAGGCTCTTTACTTGAGATAAGCCATTTAGCAAGTGTTTACATAACAGCGTTGTGTTATAATGGATCTAAAAGACGCTTGAAAATCATAAGGTTGTAACTCACGAGCTTTAAAATTCTTCACTCCTGGGCGGGAACGTTGTTCTATAGATGGACTTCTTATAACCTTAAAAAAACTACTCTCGTTGTTTTTTAACATCTTAGGGTTTACCTTGTTAAAGGTACGCGCGATGCGGATCGACTGGGTAGAAGCTTCGAGCACGACCGGGTCTGTACTGCCCGAATACCTTCGGCAACACTCCCTCGTAATATTATTCACACAGGTTTCATCCGTTGAGACATCGCCGAGACTAGGATCGCTGCGGCTTTCGTGGTCGCATCTCACGACAACCTCAATACAACACGAAGGGGGGGACAGGGCACACTGAAATGATCACTCGCGAGGAATGTTTATAATAAAAGAAATATATATTAAAAACTATTAACTGATACATGTGTGTGCGCGCGTATGTGTACTGATCAAGTACCGGGTTTGAGGAGATCACGGCGCAAAATCGCGACCCAGGCAGATCTCCGCAGGCTAATCGAGGGCCACTGTCCTTTACAAACAAAGTCACCTGGGAGCAGGTACTTACATGTGACACTGGTGCGAACTCTCGAGATCACATAGGAGTCGCAAAGCATACACGCTGAGGTCAGTAGGCGTCCCTACTAGCAGCGATTGAAAGCCGTGGTCGTCGGCGTTGACCTAGGCTCGACCTCCTGGCTGTTGGCTTCTCCACCTCTGACAGAGTTTACGCGCTCTCAGATCAACGTTCGGGTGACGAGGCTATCAAGCTCTTGGAGTACTGGCTGTCACCGCTAATCACAATTATCGGATCGCCGCACACCACGCCAAAAAACGAAAAAAAAAAACGAAGCAACAACAACGAAGACACTTCACGCCCGCTCGCAGACTCAAGCTAATCTACCTCGCATTTTCCTGCCTTACCCTCTTGTCCTTCCTGTCCCTACTCATCTATGCCATTTACCTCTTTCTTCTCTTTCCCCCAACTCACCAAGCCTACCTGAGGTGACCCAATGATGCCTCACCGTTACAACCCATACGGATTTATCCCAAAGATCAGACTTAGAAAATTGAAAAGCAACGTCTTACGTACCTCTCTGCATGATGAACAACAACAAAGTAAACATAATTGAGCACATAAGAACACTAGGGTAAATTCAAATAGAGTACAAAAACCTTTGCTTATTGAGAAGCAGAACAATTTATAAACTTTAATGTTTATGCATCTATAACTATAAGTACAAAAAAAGGTAGTGGAGCAAACAAACGAAATTTGCCGCAATTTTTGTTATTCTCATGCTTCTAGTCTGCATTATATGACCAATAATGCGTACAAGGATTTCTACATATATTGTAGCTAACATCAATGCACTTAGAAACCGCGAATCACTTGTAACATAAGTAGTATGTTAAAGTGTATATATCGGACATTCCACATCAACCGGGACACCTGAATGGCCAAAATTCAAAGCAATCTTGAAAATTCGTTTTTGACTTAAATTTTTTGTATTATCATAGGCTTTCGAAAGTTATCTGGTCTTTTAAAAAATTCAAAATGGCGACAAAATTCCGAAAAATAAACGGATTGTATTTTAAAACTATTCTATCGTATACTACTTGTGATTCTGGGCAAGAAATAATTCCTGCGAATTTTTGTTTATATTTGCTGTTTTCGAGAAAAAAAATTGTGAATATTCAAAAATATGACCAACTTGATAAAAACGCATGTTTTGGTCCTATACAAAAAGAGATAGCCTAAATGGAGAAGTTCGCAAAATACGTTGGTGTTGAAGGTCGCCGACTACGAATCCAAGGTAAGGTGTGCATAAATTTAAAATGGTGAATCCTAAATGGAGTTGAAAAGAATAGGAAACTCCTAATATTTAAATTAGGTTATCAGTAAACAACTATTTTTTTACTCAATGGACGAATGTGATAAATTTCAGCATCATGTAATAGATTTTGACGTATTTCTAAATTGTAGTTCATGTATAGGTACCATAATATCCACACTGTGCATGTGCTATGAGAATTTTAAGTAGAATATACAGGGAATCGACAAAGATTACACTTGTATGATTTTATGTTAGATTTTTCAACGAGGTTCACATATAAGTAGTGTCAAATCTATGATTTCAGTTACGAATATACCCTTGCCCGTATTATATACCC